GAGCGGCCCCCTGCGCCCGCGGGGCACGCTGGGATGCCGGCGGCCGCCCGCGGAGGCCCCGACTTCTAGCCGGGCCAACCCGCCGAGAGGACGCCGGGGGCGGGGCTGCGGCCGGCCCTTTGTTTTGCATATTGCCCCCACAATCCTCCGCGGCTGTGAGGGCGTTCTTGGGAGGTAAAATTAGTCAACATCGGAGGGTTTTAGACATGATCAAAGACAATCAAAGGAAGCGTGACGGTAGGAGATTTTCTTATACGTGATGCTCTAGGAAGTCACGCCGAGTGTAAGTTTCATCAAGTTGGCATAAGTGTAAAGTAGCTTTATTTATTTTCAGTAAATATACCTGCAAGCCGCGCGTTCGGCGTGTTTGCTGCGTGGTGAAACTTCCACGCTGCCTCGCTGAAGCCTCCTGACGTCAGAGGGCCGCGCGACGTCAGAGGGCCTCGCCGGGCTGTGCTCACCGCGGAGATCGGCGACTGGGCGAACCAGCCTCCTCCCTCGTTCCCGCCTCCCCCCCCCCCCCGCAGTGAGGTCTGGGGCTTTACAGGGCGCCTGCTGCGTGCACGGGAGAAGGTGGTTTCGGGGGCGAGCCGGGTTTTGCTCGCCCACCTACCGTCATGCGCCGCCTAGTTTTTGCTGCTCTGAACCGGCCCCGCTGGGTCAGGTCCCTGTCCCATGCCACCCGCGCGACCGCGGCCGGGCGGGGACGAGGGGTGGGCAGGACTCTGAGCCCCTGCCGCCCCCGGACAGTGCCTGTCCCCCCACCGCCCGCCGGCCCGGGCACATTCCAGTGTCCCGGCCTGGGAGGGCACGTCGGGTCACGTGCTCATCCTTGAGACGTCTCGGCGCCTCTGGGCAGCCGGGAAAGTACTAGGACCCAGCGTTCACTGAGTGCCTACTGTATGCCAGGTGCTTCCGCCGCAGGGAACCGGGAAGGGCAGCAGGAAGGGGAGGCAGGACGCGTGGGGCGATGGCTGGGAGGCCGCCTGGGGAAAGGACAGTGGACACCCAGGCCTGCTGCAAAAAAAGCGCCCCAGGGCCAGTGCCGGGTGTTGGGGCTCGGGGCCAGCAGGGGGACAAGGGGGTGTCTGGTCTGGCTCCTGAAGGCGAGCAGCCCACCGCGAGGGGCGCAGACGGGGCCTCTGAGGAAGTCATTCTCCTCCTGTCCCATAGAGAGCGCCCTGCACGGGGCCTGGCATGCAGTAGGCGCTCAATAAATGCACACGCTTGAAATTATTATGGATCACTCCCAGATCACTTGTTAGTTACAAAAGAGAAAAACAATCTTTCCCAATGGAGAGGCCGGGTGGATGTCCCCTTGACCTGGGGAGTGAAGCCAGCCTGGCAGCCTGGAGCAGAGCGGGGCAGGGCGGGCGTGGGGGAGACGAGTTCAGAGCCGTGGAGGGGCCTGGAGGCACCTTGGTTAAGGGGCAATGGGGAGCCACGGGGATTGTGAGCAAGGGAGGTTCTTGACCTGGCGGTTGAGATGTTATTGTTACTACTTGCTATTGTTACTACTTGCTTTTACTGTTACCATCTTGCTACTTTGTTATTGTCCCTGCAGGTGTCCTGGCCAGGAAGCCACAGGAGCAGACAGGCTGAAATGCCTGTTTGCAGGGAGCAAGGGGGGGCGTCTGAAGCCCCCCCAGGAGGCATCAAGGCCCCCGCTAGAGGGCCCAGCCTGGGGTCCTGCCCTGACCCTCCTGGGACAGTGCAGGGACGGGATCGCCCCAGGGCCCTGGCCGCACCTGCAGCCCCTGTGCCAGCCACCGAGACCCCCAGGCCCTGCCCGCCAGCCCACACCCAGGGGAGGGGGAGTGCCCTGCAACCCCAGGTCCTCCAGCTGTGGCCCCCTACTGCGGGCATCACCGTGGTCCCACCCTGGGGCACCTGGAGCTGCCCCCAACGAGCCCCAAGTCATCTGGCAGCCCCCACGGTCTCCCGGGGGTCAGTCCTGGACAAGCCCGGGGTCAAGGGCGGAGGCAGCTGCAGAGGCCCGGGACCGCCCTGCCTGGTTCCTGTGGCCGAGGCCAAAATTCCTAAGATTCTGCACGTGTTGAGTCAACAAGCCTTATCTCAGGTCGCCCTGCGCCGCATCCCTCCACTATCACACATATTTCCACGTCTTAACCCGCTCCCCACGGCCAGCCGCCCTCAGGGCAGTGGGCGCTCTGCAGACCTGGAGACGGATGCACAGAGAGGTCCAGCGTGATTGCCGAGGTCACACAGCCCGTGGGGAGTCAGGATTGGAACCCGGGCTCCGCGGTCCTAGGATCTTACAGACCCCACACACCGGCGTTCCCTGAGTCTAGGTTCTCGGCAGAGTTCCTCCAATTACAAGATTCTAAGCTTCTGGAACCCCAGGATTTTGAATTCTGGGATGTCCGAGTCTGGATTTCCTGGGTTCTGGGAGGCTGCCGTCTAGACCAGGGGTTGTTAGCAACTTATTTTCTGTAAAAGACCGAAAAGCCAGTGCTTTCAGATTTGCAGCCCAGAGACGACTCAGTCCAGCTGTAAATGAGTGGGCACAGCTGCGCCAATAAAGCTTTGTCTAGACACTGAAATCTGAATATTCTATGATTTCCACGTGTCGGGAGAGAGTCGTCTTTTGATTTTTTCCACTTTTTAGCTCACGGGCCACACCAAAAAAAAACGAGGCAGTATGTGGATTTGGCCCACGGTCCAGAACACGCTGGCCGATAGAAACACAGGACGAACCTCACCCGTAATTTTAAGTTTTAAACCACATTAAAAGAACTAAAAAGAGAACAGTTTTAGCAACGTTTCACATAACTCGATCTCTCGAAAATATCATTTCAACGTGTAATCGATTTGAAAAATGATCAGCGAGGGCATTTCACGTGCTTTTCTGAGCAGAGTCTGGGAGATCGGCGCGTCCCCCCCAGCCCATCTCAGGCGGGACACGGACCTGCCCTCGGACACGGGTGTCTGCGGCCGCAGCAGTCGAACTGAGACCAAAGAGGAAAATGCACACGTTCCCCAGATGCTTCAAATCTACTCGGACGTTTTCCCAAAACTGGGTGCGGTGTCGGTGTTTTATTTTAAGTCAGAATTAATTAAAGTCCAATAAAATGAAGCCTTCACTTCCCCGGCCGCACCAGCCACGAGTCCAGTGCTCAGCAGCCGTGCGGCCCGGTGGCTGCACAGGTGGACAGTACCCAGGAGGCCATTTCTGTCATCTCGGTCCCCTGGGTCAGCCCTGGTCAGAACGCTGGGATTTTAATCCCCGGGCACTCCCGTGGCGCTGGTGATGTCCGGGCGTTTTCCTGGGCACCTAGGAAATACCAACCCTGGGGGTGGCCCACTTCACAGGCGGGAGACTGAGGCCTGGCGGGGGTGGGGGCCTGCCTGGGGCGCCGGAGTGCGGACGGTTCTGGGGTTTGGACCCATCCAGGCTCAGTCCTGTTGCTGTGGTTCAGCACCTGACCGGCCCTGCAGAGGTCCCCCCGTCCCGCTCCCTGGACCCCCCGCTGCCCCTGTGGCTGCTGCTGTGGCCCCTCAGCCGTCCTGCTGGACCCAGCACCCAGGACACGGGCCCACCCCTGCCCTGCGAGGAGGCCCGCCGGGTGGACACAGGGCTGTAGGCACAGGCCAGCGTCACGTGCAACTTCTCCAGAGCCCCCCAACTCACGATGGTCTCTCTGGAGAGTCGCTGGGGGCCCCCTGGGCAAGCACCAGGAGCCGGTGTGACGAGGACACCCCTGGGTGTGGGGCCAGCAGCCGCCCACCACCACAGGCCTCCACGGTGCCCTGGGTGCTGCTGATCACTGTGCCCCAGCAGGACATGCCGGGGTCCACCTGGACCCCTGAGTCCCTACTGCCCTCACAGCTCCCCACCTAGACACCAGCAAACCACGTTTCCACCCAGAGCCCTTGGCTCATTGTTGACCCTCCCACAGTCCACTGGTCGCCATTTCACCGGTGATGAAACTGAGACCCAGAAGGAAAGGGACTCACCCAAGACCAGCCGGCTGGGACTTGACCCCTGAAGAAAGGCGCCTTCAGCCAGACGGACTGGGAGAATGACAGGCAGAGAGAGAAAATGGACATCCAGGCAGTGGGGCACCAGGGCGAGTTGTCTCGGGGCCCTCACAGAGCCCAACCAGCCACCTGTGTGTCAGACTCCTACCCATGCCTCAAAACCCCATCTCCCACCTCCCCTGCTACATGCAGCTTTCCTGGACTCCTCCGGTGGAGTCCCCACTCCCCCTGCAGGTTCCTCCACCCCAGGCCCCTCTTTTTGTCCTGTGCCTGCTCAAATGGGGCAGGGGGTCTGTACCTGGCTCTGTCTTCCCCAGGATGGGCAGGGCCAGAGCTAAGTCTCCTGGGGGCCAGCATCACCTGGCAAGGGACTGTCCCAGAGGCTGTGTCGGGGGCTTTTGATGAATGAATCGTTGTGTGAATGAATGAATGAGTTACTGAATAAGTGGATTCATTTATTCTGTTATTGATTGATTGATCTGCACAAGCAGACACCACCTATTGAGCGCAAACTGTGTGCCCGGGCTGGCCTGGTACACTTGGCAGCCTCAGCCCTGCCCCCAGGGCATCTCCTGACCTCAACCCTCTGCTGTTCCACCCCCCTCCCCATTTGGCCTCATCCCTCCACCCAGAATTCAAGGCCTCTTCTCATAGCTCCTTCCCCAACCTGTCTGATTGACCTCTACACGCTTTCAACCACAGACAGTCCCTGCAAGTCTTTGTGCCTTTTGTTCTGCCAGGAACACTAATCCCTTTGGGACTAGCGAACTCCTACTCATCCTTCCACACCCCAGCTCCCCTGGCCCGCTCCTCCCAGCAGCCTGCCCTAGGTCCCTTGTCCACCACCCAACTATGGGAGTTCCTAGAGCGGGACTAGACTGGGAGGCGCCTCTAAGTGGCCGAGAGGGGTCCTTATTCGTGCCCCAAGGGAATTAGGGTCCCACCGCACAATTCCCCCGTCTCCCATCCTCGCGCAGAAGGGTAAACTGAGACCCAGAAAGGGCGAGAGAGCCGCCTCGGGGCGCCCAGCCGGGACAGGGCAGGAGTGCCACGTCCTGGCGGCCAGAGCCCCTGCGCCCCCGTGCCTCAGTTTCCCGGCGGTTCCGGGAGCCGGGCGGGGGTCGGCGGCGAGGGGCGCAGGAAGTCGGCGGCCGCAGGAATCCGGCGCGGCCCGGCCTTATAAGGCCATGTGCGCGGGGGGCCAATCAGCGGCGGGGGCGTGGTCCCGCCCCGCGTCCCGGCGCCGGCAGCCCGTCCGTCCGTCGGTCTGTCCGTCCGTCCCGCGCCGGCCATGAGCTCCACGCAGTTCAACAAGGGGCCCTCGTATGGGCTTTCGGCCGAGGTCAAGAACCGGGTGAGTAGGGGACCCCCGCCCAGGCCGCGCCCCCGGACCAATGCAGGGCGCAGGGCCCCCCAACATCGGGGGGCAGGGAGCTCCGGACCCGGCACGCAGCCCTTCTCCTCCCTAACATCTGGGGGTGCCCGCGGGGCTCCCTCGAATCTGGGGGGGCCGGGAGGTCTACCATCCGGGGGACCCACCCGTCCCCCCAACCTCTTGGGGCGCTCGGGTCTGACCTCTCCCCCCGGCCCGCCACCCAGCCCGCCCGCATCTGAAAC